GGCCTGCCTACAGGAGTTGAGGATTGGTAGAACCCACCACCTAGTTACACTTCTGACAGCGATGTTGCCGAAGTGTGCAGTCTCGATGGAAATGCCACGGGCCACAGTGCCAACAAGTAGAGGGCGGGGATTTCGCCTTGGGGGCTGGCTTGGGCCGCCTAACCAGAGGTGGCTTAGCTGTTGTGACCGCATTCACTGAGTCAGTAGTAGAAGCGCCCTAGACCATGGCCGAATCGTGCTTGAGATTGATAAGTGCTTGACATTCGGCAGCCAGTTCTTGAAAATCGGTGGCTCGCTGAACTCATCCACCGATGTAGGAGCTTTTTTTTACTGCCCAGCTAATTATTTTATAAGAGTTCGTTGTAAATCTGAAATATTTTTTATTTTTTCTAATTTTCACGATAGCAGTAAGTTTGTAATGAAAGGGCCCTTGGGCCTTAAATATACAATTTACTTTTTTATTTATTGTGAACAAAATTAGAATTGCAGCTTAAGCTGCCATACAACAGACCTAATGGCGATTAAATTCGAACCGAAGTCCGAATAGTACAATTAATTCAAACCCCACAGCTAATCGGTCAACAATTCACCCTGGACTATTGTACTTTTCGCCACCTCATGATGCCCATACTGTGATCGGTTAATTCGTCAATTGGAGCTCAAGGTAAAATTTCTACCGGGCTCGAAATTGACCGTTATTTCGAGCTCCAATCAGTGGATCAACTAAACACAGTACCCTCTTTTGTCCTAGCGAGAAGGGAACAGTCCAAAGCAAAAACAAAACAGATCGTAGTAGTCAAACTCCGACACGAATTTAATTGCTATCAGGGATTAAGTAGTAGCCTTTAGCTAGTTTTCCATTCCAAATCCAAGGACCTTCTGCACCTCCTAGAGTATAATTAAGTATATATAAGGGAGAGAGGCAGAGCCTTTGAAAACCCTATTTACAGATAGATGCTGTCAGATCATGCATGTCGTTCAAAGCCACATATGCATTATGTAAATCGTTGTTGTCTACCAAATATATGACCAGGAAGTTAAGTAAGATCAAGCCTTCTTTTTAATGCGTCGACGCTTTCAGCAAGAACAACTGAGGAAGGA